GTATGACATATAATTTATGTTTTGATAGGCTCTTATCACATCATGTACATTACACATGAGCCTAAATTTGTTATTTGGTATTTTTATGTGTCAAAATGTATAGGAAACATTTTTTCAAATAAATTGAAGCATGGGAAATTTCACCTATATGAGTCAAGAATGAAAGGCATCGTTTCGTAAAATGAAAATAATAGCCAAGTGGTTGATCCAGTTTACATTATTTTGTTTTTCAATGTCAACTCCTCCCAGGAAATAACCTACAGTTTCTCATTCTCAGGCTTAGTAACTTCCTGCTTTATTTTTCTAAATTGTTTAAATACCTATGGATTTTTAAAAAATCTTTTGACTGGTGATTTGGTCACCCGTCATTTTAATAATAAAAAGAAAAATAACATTTTTGCAGCTATTCTAGTTGTTATACTTGTGATTCTAAATTGGTTTGCCATAGTCCACAGATATAAATAGGTGTGTAAACTTGGGCAATAACATAAGCTTCACTAGTAAATGTGCTCACTTATATGTAAAATGATTTAATGTCTTTCTTCCTGGATAATAGAAAATTAAAATGGGAGGCACTTAAAGCACTTAAAATGATTTAATGTCTTCCTTCCTGGATAATAGAAAAATTAAAATGGGAGGCATTTAAAGCACAGTGCCTGTCACATAGGAAGCTAATTTTGACTTACAACATTATTCCAATCAATACATGAAGAGGAAAGGCCATGGCTGCCATGTTTTCTGTCAGTGACTTTTGTCCTTTTAGTCATATTAAAAGAGACATGTTGAAACCTTTAATAGGGTATCTGTCCGTGACCACTTTAGTTCTGTTTATACAGCACCACTTAAACTCCAATGTTTCTACTCTCTCCAGAACAAGACTCATTTTTCTACCACCTCTACACATTTCATACCATTATTCTTTTTCTCTATACAAGGAATTTTTATTTGGCCACCGAAACTAAATTTCATAGGAATGGAAAGACAGGAAAAGTCCTTAATTATTTAAATGAAATAATTTCATGGACTACTGATCAAATGTTCTGCTTAAGATTTCAGAGATCAGAGTGTTCCAGTCAAGATGGCAGAGTAGGTAGGCACTGTGCTTGCCTCCTCCCATGACCACATCAAATTACAACTCAGTTATACAGCAGTCAACCTGGAGACCCACCTGAAGACTAGCTGAACTCCTACAGCGAAGGATAAGATCGAGAAATACCAGCCCCACACCAGGCTCCCTAAACCCAGGGCATCAGTGCTGGGAAGAGAAGTCCCATGGCAGCTGGCTGTGAAAATCAGTGGTGATTCAGTCCCACCCTGGTGAGATGGAGGGTTGCTGGAAACCCAGATGTTCTCCTAGAAAGCCTGCACACAGACTCTATCACTCACAGGCACTCACCCAAAGCACCTGGAAAGGAACAGCAGCTCGAAGGCATCAAGACTTGTGGGGAGAAACTGACTTGTGTGGCTTCAGGGTGGGGGCCATTATTGTCCCTGTTTTGAGCACTCTCCCATGCAGGGACAGAGAGGAACCAAATCTGAATCTGCATTAACCCAGTAACTACCACTCACCTAACCCTGATGACTCCCTGAGACTCAGCTCCACCCAATGCACACACTGTGCTTGGCTCTTTCAGTGGCTGTGCCTCATGGGCAGACATGGCTCATGCTGCAAGCTTTCTTAAAATCTCTCCAAGATCTGCAGGACCCAAGAAGGTAGTGTCTGGCTTCACTGTGCCCTGTGCCTTTTGCTGAGTGGCCCGGGCCTGGCCTGGATGGCAGCTAGCCTCAAGTCATGGTGTGGCTTCTCCCACGAGTCTCCTGGCTCAGTACAGGCATTTGCCAACCAGGGATCACTTGTAGCTCCTACCAGATGGCACTTGGTTGGGCCACGGGTAGTGGCTGACAGCCTATACTGGAGCCTCTCTCAAGAAGCCCCAGAAACAACACATGTGAAGGCTGACCTCAGATCACAACAGAGCACCACTCTGTTAGCTCCACAAAAGGCACATCCAAAGGGTGGTCTTAGAAGGCACCAGGAGCCCTGCTGGGGTGAATCAGCTTCCACTGTGGTCATTACCAGTCTTTAGAGCTAGTCACCCTGAGAGACAGCTCCACCTACTGAGGAGCAAACAACAATCAAGGTTGAACTACAACAGGAGGCTACACACAACCCACACAAGGGACAGTGCCACCGTGCCACTGGGCGCCAAAGGAAACCTCTTAGGTAAAGCCACCCTGACAGAACTGGTAAATGTAGCAGATCTTTCTAATACACAGAAACAAACACAGAGGAGCAGCCAAAATGAGGAGACAAAGAAGCATATCCCAAATTAAAGAACAGGGGAAAACTCCAGAAAAAGAACTACACAAAATGGAAATAAGCGATCTACCAGATGCGGAGTTCAAAACACTGGTTATAAAGATGCTCAACGAACTTTGGGGAAGAATAGATCAAATGAGTAAGAACTTCAACAAAGAGATAGTAAACATAAAAAAATACACATCATAGAAACCATAAAACTAACCATTTAGAAATGAAGACTATGTAAGAACTTCAACAAAGAGATAGTAAACATAAAAAAAAGACACACCATAGAAACCATAAAACTAACCACTTAGAAATGAAGACTATAATAACTGAAATAAAGAATACACTAGAAGGAATCAATAACAGTTTAGATGAAACTGAGGATTGAATCAGTGATTTGAAAGGCAAGATAGTGGAAAACACCCAATCAAAGTAGCAAAAAGAAAATTATATATTAACAAAAAAGAAAAAAAGTTTCTGAAGTAGAAATGACACTATTTTAAGTAGAAAAACAACTACAGAAAAACCCAGAAGTAAAACATTCTGCAGAATAGCATTATAATAGCTTTATTGTAGGAATATATTGAATATACAAATCAGCCAGCCACCTTAGGGAACTAGATAGAGATAGAGATGGAGATGGAGATAGAGATCGAGATCGAGATAGATTGATTGCAGAGAGGAAGGGAAAAGGAGAGAGAGAGAAACATCAATGATGAGAATGATTGATCGGCTACCTCCTGCATGCCCCCTACTAAGGATGGAGCCTGCAACCCAGGCATGTGTCCTGACCAGGGATGGAACCATGACCTCCTGGTTCATGGGTGGATGCTCAACCACTGAGCCACATCCATTGGGCTATGGACTTTTTTTTTTAATGACTCAGAGGGCAAGAACACAGCGTAAGAGCTTGGAGCTTAGTCTGCAGTTTTCCCTAATAGGCAGTGTGCATGAAAGACCTCTGTAAACAATGGATGCTAGACTCAAGTTATGAATTTGAACCCAATTAAACACAAGGAGTACTTCTTGGCAGGCATACTTTTTCTCAGGGTTGACCTATGAAACATATGAAACCTTATATTTTAAAATACTTTAACCCATATTTTGATTTATGAAATGCACAATGCTTATATATTAATCACCTGTTACCATAGCATTTCTTGAGGAACAACTTCATGCAGAACGTAGTAGAAAAAGAAGACATATGATTTACAACCTCTAGGAACTTGCCTTCTTAGAGAACACTGAGGTTTCTCACTGTTTCAAACTGTGGAAGAGTAATCTGACCCGACATACTAAAGATATTTTATTGGGGGAGTTGTGTGAGATGAATTCAGAAAAAAATGGAGAAGGACGCATATCTGTGGCTATATTTTAAAATAAAAAAACATTGTTGCTGTCTCTTCAGTTTACTGTTAAATGAATTTTCACCTTATTCTCCAACAAATCAAAAGCTCATCAGATATTATTTAAAGCAAGCATGGAACATCACTACCACCATCACTTGGGTAAAAGGTTGAAACAATCATTTAAAATCTTTCAAAAACCTTTGCATTTATTCAGTATCATGAAGCTACATCCAGACCACAGTTCCTGGCCGATGAAAAAGTTAAAATAATTTACTCTCATGTTCTTATCTCAGGCCGAGGTGGCTGTGATGACCTACCGACATTTGCGTCCATGGAACTGAAGGGTAATCCTGCACCCCATTATGCTCCTGGGAACACAGTAGAATATGAGTGTCTCCCAGGATACAAGCGTCTTATTCCTGTTCTTCCCACCTCTGCTGTTTGTCAGCCTGATAACACATGGACACCTCTCCAGGAGGCTTGTACAAGTGAGTTCACAAAACTTTTCTTTTTATTCCTTAGACATTTTCACACATTGTAAGCTCTCTATGTCACTACTGTAAGGATGGTCATCTCATGGGAAAATGTATTTTAGGTAGCACTGTTTTTGAAAATTCCCCTAGAATCTCTTCCTTGGCAATTGGTTGTGAAGGGATACGCGAATTTTAAATTTGGGCTTTTGATAGTCAAGGAAAGAAAATATTTTCACGAATTCAAAAGAGCAGTGTCCAATTTTGATTCAAATCTGGATTGCAATTGGTATAAAACAACATATTTGAAATTTTTCTTTCAGGAAAATCATGTCCACAGCTAGTAGAACCTCAAAATGCCCAAGTATTTTTCACACACGGAACTTTTCAATTTGGTTCACAGGCTCATTATGTTTGTAATGAGGGGTAAGTAAGCTGCTCATTAGAGGACTAATGTAAATGTTACTAATCTTATTTTGGGGTTTTTTTCTTAAGCATTCCTATAATGTTGACTTCTTGCTTTCTATGTGACCAGTTACACGTATAGCTAATGTACTCTTTGACTTTTTATGGAGACAAAAGATATGTAATGAATAGAAAGAAATTTAAATTAAAAGAAAACAATAGTATAATACTTACTATATATAATAATGCTATTGTTAGCATTAAAAATATAGTAATCATGGTGACTTTATCCTTAACAACAAAGTGTACCCTGTTTAAAATGGCCAACCCTGGGAGTTGAGAGAGGGTTTATAGAAATGGAAGGTAGAATTGCCAAGCAAAAGTAATCTAACCTTCAGATAACTCTGTCAGGCGTTTCCAGACAAAATTGACCTGGGCAGCCAGTTTCTTAGGTGAAAAACCTTATTTTTGAGACTGCTACAATGGAGTGAAAGTCTCAAAAATAAGTGCTGAGCACTTAATAGGAGGCTTTTTCTATAGTACTCTTTTAATAGTGTATATTTGAGATATTGGAGGTTTATAAAAAATGTGCATTTAGAAGGTAAATGTAATACACTATAAAAATGCAACGGGCCCTGACTGGTTTGGCTCAGTGGATAGAGTGTCAGCCTGCGGACTGAAGGGTCCTGGGTTTGATTCCGGTCAAGGGCACATGCCCGGGTTGTGGGCTCAATCCCCGGTGTGGGGCGTGCAGGAGGCAGTCGATCAATGATTCTCTTTCATCATTGATCTTTCTATCTCTCCCTCTCGAAATCAATAAAAATATAAAGAAAAAAATTATTGACAAAGAGGGACTTAACTTCTCTCATTGTGCTGTTTGTGTTCTATATTCTTTTAAGCTTTGGGCGGGGGGCGGGGAGGGGGGTCACTCCTTTTGTGCATTAGAGTTTTCTTTTGTGTTTAGCTAATTTTTATAATGAAATGCTGAAATTTCTTCCTCATTCCCTTTTATGTATTTTCTATAGTGATTTTTGTCTGTGGTTCCCATTGGGGTTGCTTTTAACATCCTATAATTATAACACTCCTATTTGAATTTATACCAATTTAAATTCAATAAATTACAAAAAAAGAATCCTTTACAGCTCCATCTCCACCCCTTTTAGGTGTTAATATCATACTAACTTCTACACTAATAATGGAAATACTGGCTTCTACACTAATTTTTTATTTTCTTTTAAAAGATTACTCTCTTATATCACATGTAAATAAAAAAAATCCCAATACAATCCCATTGTTACAATAATATAGATTTTATAATTGCCTACATATTTACCTTTAGTGAAATGTTTATTTATCCATACAAATTCAAGTTTATAGTGTCTTTTAATTTTACCTTTTAGGTCTGTTTCCTTCGAGTTTTTTTGTTTGTTTGTTTGTTTGTTTTTTTAGGCCAGGTATAATAGAGACAAACCCCTTCTGCTTTTATTTCTGGGAAAGTTTTAATATCTCCCCCATTTTGAAGCACAGTTTTACTGTATGGAGGATTTTTGGTTGACAGTTTGCTTTTTTTTTTTTTATCATCACTTTGAGTCAGTTCACTGTTCTGGCCTCTGTTTCTAATGAGAAATCTCCTTATTATCTTATTTGGGTTCCCTTGTACATGGTGATTCACTTCTCACAGCTTTCAAGATCTCTTATCAGTGGCTTTGGAAAGTTTGATTATTATGGGTCTTAGTGTGGGTCTTTTTGAATTCATATTACTTGGAGTGTGTTGAGCTTCGGGAGTTTTTATTATATACCTGTCTTTCATCAACTTTGGGAAGCTTCAGCCATCATTTCTTCCAAGATCCTTTCTGCCCCTCTCTCTTTGTCTTCTCCTTCTAGGACTCCCATTGTGTGTATATATTGGTCTGCTTATTGGTGTCCCACAGGTCTGTCCCACAGCTCCCTTAGGTCGTCTGTTCACATCCATCTTTTTTCACTCTGCTCCTCAAACTCAGTAATTTCCATAGTCATATCTTCTCATTTGCTGATTCTTTCTTCTGCCTGCTCAAAACAGCCTTTAATTTTTCTAGTGAATTTTTCTTTGCATTTATTATTCTTTATTTTATTTTTGTGTGTGTGTGTCACTATTTATCTCTCTTATACTTTCTTTTACCTCTACCTGCTGTGGGAGTGGGATGAGTAGCTGCCACTGTGCTAAGAGCTGAAATTGACCAATATTCGTGCTATTTATTTTTCCATATTTCCTGGAAGTTGCAAACCTCCAGAGTTCCAAAAACAGTGGTGTTCCGCAGATTCTAGCAGTGAAATTGTTGTCTAGTTGGGGAGACATAGTAGCAGTGCTTCCTACTGTGTCATCATCCCCAAATTCTCTCTTAACACATTATATTATAGGGTCAATAGTGAGTCTTGGGGACAGTCATCTGGAAGCAGTTATAGGCAGTTCCAATGTCTATTTTGTAATTTGATCAAGTGAAAATATCTAGTCAATAATCAGAGAGCCTGCTAGGTATTTTGAGGAATACCAAAGGTTAAGGTATAGGACTCTTCTCAAAGAAGTTGTAGCTTTACTGAGAAACCCATTATATACAGAGAGGTGTCAAGGGAAAATAGTAAATGCGAGTACCAAAGAAATAGAGTTATTCATGATTATTCTAAAGAGAGTCCAGAAGGAGGTAGTACTCTGACTTTAAATCATCAGAGATTTCATCAAGTAGGAGTATTTCTGAGCTATTCCTAGGAAGGTATTCTGATCTGAAAAATATTCATAACACCAAAACTTACCTACTACATTCACTGTGTTCCAGATGCAAACTCATCTACTACTTGAAACAACCTCACAAAACATATACTATTCTTCTTTTTTTTTTTTAAAAAAAAATATATTTCTTTATTGATTTCAGAGAGGAAGGGAGAGGAAGAGAGAGATAGAAACGTCAATGATGAGAGAGAATCATTGATCAGCTGCCTCCTGCACGCCCCCTACTGGGGATCGAGCCCACAACCTGGGCATGTGCCCTTGGCCAGAATCGAACCTGGGACCCTTCAGTCCACAGGCCGACGCTCTATCCACTGAGCAAAACCGGCTAGGGCTATACTATTATTCTTTATATAAATGCAGAAATTGAGAAAGAGAAACATCATGGGACTTGCCCAACACAAATAACTACTTGGTTGTGGAGCTGGGACTCAAATCCAGTCAAGTAAGATAGAGGGACAGATCTCTGTTCATTCTTGTCCTGACTGAGCAGAACGGCATGAGCAAGGACAGAGAAGTGAATGTTGATGTCATTGCCAGATATAACAAAGAGGCCAGGCTGACAGCAATGATAAATTTATTTAGACATTTTGCTCTAGGCCAATACATGTTCACACTCAGAATTTCTCTCTTTCATTACACTGCAGATTTGGTTAGCACATTCAGTACATGCCACTTAGGACATATCTCCCAGAAACTACTGTGGTTCAGTAAAAAAAACCAAAACATACAAAACTTGTTTTCATTGTTATGTGTTCTTGTTAACTAATAAAGAAGACAGTAATCTTTTCTTTTCTCATTTAGTTATAACTTAATTGGAGTAGACATTCTATATTGTAATGTTTCTGGAAATAATGTGGAATGGAGTGATAGTCCCCCACAGTGTGAAAGTAAGTATATTCTCTCTTTAGAATTTAAAGAAGTAGTTCGCAAATTTTTTTGGCCTGGTGACCCCTTTATGCAGTTAAATTAACAAATACCCCCTGGAGATCTTCTGCAGATGTGTTATGTCTATTGATATTCATTATATTGAAATTTAAACAGACGTTTTAAAAATAATTACATATTAAATCATTTTTAAAAACAGTAAGCTCAATACATATGAAGAAATGCAACATATTTTTTCATAAAATAAAAAATTTTCAAAGCAAAGAGTGAAGATAGTGGCATCGCTTTTACATTTTTTCAAAATTTTTTATATGTGGCTTAAAAGTTAGACTGAAAATTCATTTTTTTGCATTATTAAACACTCTGAACCCACCAGAAATTTTTACTGTACACTCTTAAGGATGAAACTGGGAAAAAACCCCAATAATATCTTGGTATTACTAAATATTACTGTAAAACCATTGATTTAGGAATAGATATATTTATAAAGTATAAAGCATTTCTCAACTAACCCTGAGTTTTAGTTTAATCATAAGTATATTTTCTCACTAAGTTACCACTTCTCTAATTATGAGAACAAGACTAATCATGGCCTTTCGGAAAAATATAGGTATTTAACATAGGGAACTTACATAGGTTTTTTTTAAGAAAATTACTTTTATTCTAAAAGTTCGTTGCACATGAAGCCCTGGCCGGTTTGGCTCAGTGGATAGAGCGTTGGCCTGCAGACTGAAGTGTACCCAGTTCGATTGTGGTCAAGGGCACACTCCTGGGTTGCAGGCTCAATCCCCAATAGGGGGCATGCAGGAGGCAGCCAATCAATGATTCTCATCATTGATCTGTTTATCTCTCTCCCTCTCCCTTCCTCTCAGAAATCAATAAAAATATATTTAAAAAAATAAAAGTTCATTGCACATTAGTATTTTGATTTGGGATAATACATTTTCTTGTAGAAACTTTCTTTTAGATGGATATTGGATTCACAACTAGATTGTAGATATCATATATTAATTACTGAAGACAGTTCACAGGACATTATAAATACTCTCTTCATCCTTCACCTTTTCTTTTGCCTTCTATGTCTTCATTTTTTTCTCTCTTTTTAAGAGGTTTCATGTCAACCACCTAGAAAAATATCAAATGGAAAATATACCAAGAGTTTCAAAGATACATTTGAATATAATAAAGTAGTAATTTATAGTCCTAATCCTTCGAATGGGCCAGATGAATATTCACTTATTAGAGAGAGCAGGCTTCTGGGTATAAAATATGGGGTAGTGACTCTCCTCAGTGTAAATGTAAAAATATTTCCATTTACTTCTTTCTCTCTGTTTAAATCATATGTAAATACTTTCAAATTACTTTTACCAAAAAATAAACAAAAACCATATGTGCTTGCTCCTCCTGTTACATTGGTTTCTAATTTAATTCAATATAGGTCAAACAGAATAAAAAATAGTACTAGTTGTAGAGTTCCCCACCCTTCACCCATGTGTTCTTGGTATTTCACTGTATACATTGTGAATTACTTTGTGTATGCACAAATTAAGATTTTTGTTTTTTGCTTGAAAGCATCAAAAATTACACACTGGCTAAAAGATATTTAAGGCAATTGGAAATTTAAAAAAAACACCTGGGGAAAAGCAATACTTATATCAGACAATATAACTTTAAAACTAAGGCTATAACAAGAGACAAAGAAGGTCATTTCATATACCAGAGCCAATATAAGGAAGCAACCTGTGTCTGTCAATAGACATTTGGATAAAGAAGATGTGGTACATATATAGGGTGTCCCAAAAAATGCATACACACACACACACACACACACACACACTTTACATGATCATAAAGGCAGTGTTTACTAAAGTACATTTCATTTTCAAAATTGCTCTATCAGCTGTTAAAGTGTGTATACATTTTTGGGGAACACCCTGTATACAATGGAATATTATTTGGCCATAAAATGAGTGAATTCTAACAATTTTCAATAACATGGGTGGAGCTAGAGGGCATTATCCTAAGTGAAATCAGAGAAAGACAAATACCATAGGATTTCACTTATACATGGAATCTAAAAATATGAAATAAGCAGTCAAAATAAAGTTATAGTTACAGAGAAAAACTAAAGGTTGCCAGATGGGATGGGGTTTAGATAGGAGGCTGGGTGAAAAAGGTGAAGGAATTAAGAAGTACAAATTGGTAGTTAAAAAATGGTCCTAGGTGTGTAAAGTACACACAGGGAATATAGTCAAGAATATTGTTATACCTGTATATGATGCCCGGCTATATAAATGTCTAACCACTATACCATTTACCTAAAACTAACATAATATTGAATTTCAACTGTAATTGAAAAAAATCCTGCTATTTATCCTACAGATACACACACACACACACACACACACACACACTGCCCCCCAGCCCCCTGAGATGATTAGTATCAAAAGTTTGTTTGAACTGACCCAGAACTTACATCTGGTAGTCAGACCTTTCTCAAAACTTACAGTAGAAAAAAAAAAGTGAGAAACCAATAAACTATGACAGTTTGTTTTAGCTGGCAAAAAATTGTTACATTTCTCTCAATCTGTTTACTGAAATTAAAATGCACAAATTAAATATTTCTTTAAAAAATTAACATCCTGCCTTTCATTCCTTGTCTCTTTGTTCGCAGTGGAAATTATGACTTTGCACTAGTTTTTCTCTTCTATGTTAAAGCAGCTTTTCATTAATTCTGAAATTTCTTCACTTCTCAGTGGTTAAATGTAATTATCCAGTACTCGAGCATGGAAGACTGGTGTCAGGACATGAAAAACAATATCACTACAAAGCAAAGGTTGTATTTGAATGCCTGGAGGGTTTTGACCTTCAAGGTAGCAGTACAGTTTTCTGTGGATCTAACAATAATTGGGAGCCTAAGATGCCAAAATGTATTAAAGGTACAAAGGATATCTTTTTCCTTCTTGTTTGTTTTTAAATATTTTATTTCTTTAACATTAAAAAATCAGTGATACAGAATAATGGAAAAGAAGCCATTTTAGTAATTAACTCTGTCTTGTATTCATTTCCATGATAGAGGTATGACATCCAGTTTACAAATTCTGCTATTGTCATTTTATATGTTTCCATAGGGTCTTAGCACATTCTGTAAATCACACAGGTGTGTAAGTTTCTGTTGTTTGGCATGTTTATGTGTAAAAATATATAGCAATGTATTTTCAGAGTAAGTTTCATAGGTTCCTAGCACATTCTATACATCATATATATAATGTGTAAATATATTCATATATATACAATATATAACAATCATTTTTCAGAGTAAGTTTCATAGGGTCTTAGCACATTCTGTATATCACACAGGTGTATAATTTCTGTTGTTTGGCATATTAAAGTATAAAATATATAGCAACCATTTTTCAGAGTAAATTGAATGATTGGAATTTATACCTAAGTCAAGAACAAAAAGCATAATTTTATACAAATGAAAATAAAGCAATAATGCTCAAACATTTGATATAATCTACTACATGATTTCTTTATCCAGTGTTGACTCCTCCCCGTACAAAATCTACCATTACCCATTTCTCAAGTTTAGTAATTTCCTGCTTATCTATTTCAAAATTCTTTAAATACTGGTGATTTTTCAAAAATATTTTGAATTTCTGGTGATTTTACACTCGTCATTTTTAGTAATGAAGGAAGAAGTACATACTTACAGCTATTTTAGTTGTTATACTTAGTGCCATAGTCAGCACATATACACAGTTATGTGAACTTGGCAAGTGTGTAAAGTTTAAATGTACTTACTCATATGTAACGCCTTCCTTCTGGGTGATAGGACAGTTCAAATGGGATGCACTTAAAGCACTTAGCACAGCGCCTGTCATATAGGAAGCTCTTAAAGGAAACTCATAGATTTACAGCATCACTCCAATCAGTATTCGAGAATTGGAAGGTCTGTGGCTTCTGTTTTTTTAATGTGTCTTTTTTATGTGTCATCAACTTCGCTATTTAATTCTTTTAAGAAGTGATCTGGTGACACCTGTTACAGGGTATCTTACTAGTATGGGACTGTTTCATTTCCCAAACTGCAACCATTTAAATTTTCCCACTTAAACTGGAAAATTTCAAAATTTCTGCTATCTCCAGAACAAGACCCATGTTTCTATTGCTCTCACCTCTCTTCTCCTCATACTATTACGATTTTTCTTCTTACTGGGAATTTTTTAAATTTGACAACAAAAAATAAATTTCATCATGGAAAGGCAAAATGAAATGGAGGACTTATTGCAGGACTACTTATCAGCTGCTCTGCTTAAGACTTGCGGGATTATTTTCCTATGGTGGAAGGAACTGTCTTCCTGATTTCAGTGCTGCTATCTCTGGCTACCCATTGGTTGCAGTAGAAACAAGAGGATTACAGTAGTCACCATTTATCTGGGGTTTTGCTTTCTGCTATTTTAGTTACCTGCAACTGTGGTCCAAAATATTAAATGGAAAATTCCCAGAATAAACAATTCATTCGTTTTAAAATACTCGCCATTCTGAGTAGCATGATGAAATTTCATGCTAGCCCACTCTGTCGCACCTGGGATGTGAATCATTCCTTGGTTCACTGTATCCAACTCACTTCATCTCATTACTTTAGGCAGAAGGGAGAGTATAGTACAATGATATATTTTGAGAATGAGAGACCACATTCACGTAACTTTTATTATAAGACCAGAGGCCCAGTGCACGAATTCGTGCACCAGTGGAGTCCCTCCGCCTGGCCTGCAGAATCAGGCCAAAACTGGATCTCTGACATACCCCGAGGGGTCCCGGATTGCAAAATAGCACAGGCCAGGCTGAGGGACCCCACCAGTGCACGATCGGGGCTGGGGAGAGATGTGAGAGGTTGGCCAGCCAGGAGGGGACTGCAGGAGGGCTCCAGGGCCTGTCTGACCCACCGTTTAAAATACTCGCCATTCTGAGTAGCATGATGAAATTTCATCCTAGCCCACTCTGTCGCACCTGGGATGTGAATCATTCCTTGGTTCACTGTATCCAACTCACTTCATCTCATTACTTTAGGCAGAAGGGAGAGTATAGTACAATGATATATTTTGAGAATGAGAGACCACATTCATGTAACTTTTATTATAAGATATTGTTATATTTGTTTTATTGTCTTATTATTGTTGTAATCTCTTACTGTGCCTAATTTGTAAATTAAACTTTATTATAGTTATGTATGTGTAGGGGCCAACATAATATACATCTATAATAATAAAAGTGTAATATGCTAATTAGACTAGACGTCCTTCCAGATGTCCTTCCAGACAACCTCTGGAAGAAGCCGGGGCTGTAGCCCCGGGATTGAGGCAGCCAACTGGCTGCGAGGGGGATCCAAGCATCCACCTTGGCTGGGAAGGCCTATTCTTGCATGAATTTTGTGCATCAGGCCTCTAGTAGATATATATAGGGTCTGGTAGTATCTGTTATTCCAAGCATTGACTAGGGGTCTTGGGACATATCCTCCATAGATGCAGGGAAACTACCATAGTGTGAAGAGTATTAGCTTGGGCTGATCTCGTTCAGAGTCCTAGTTTGGCTCTGATTACTCAATTACATTATTTCTATGGGGTTTAGTTTCCTGTCATTTAATGAGGGTGTTGAACTCAAACAAATTCTATTACTGGCTTCTAATTTATTTATATATTTCCTGTTGTCTTAATATTTTAAAGGATCCAGGGGAATTATGCATGCTAACATGGTAATGAGAACACCTTTTTATAACTCCTGTAAACCTGGTAACTGGTAGCCTGCTTGAGAATCTTAGTTGAGTGTTGTGAGGTTTCAGGGAGAAAGAGATTTTTTTTGGTGGACTGGTACATTAAAATTGCATGTGAAGTTTATATTCATCGACCCATCGTGTTTACTCACAGGGTCCTACTGGGTATATGCACAGTGGGATACCAGGTTTGCAGATATGCTCTTTTGATGGAGTCGACCATAAAAATTTACAAAGGATTTCAAAACAGTGATACAATTTAGTGTCTCAAATAAGAGTTAATTAAATATGAGGAAATTTTATGAAGAACATAAACAGCAGGAATCTTTTCTTAAATATCAAAAACTCTCAATTACTTTTATCATCAGTTACAGAAAGACTTTACAAAAATGGAATACTAGCAACATACAATGGTGATAAGGTAGATGTAATTGTGCAAATATGAAAAAATGTCCTTAAAATATTAAGTGAAAAAGAAGAAAATTTAAAAATTATGTATTATAATATTACTTGGATGTTAATTTTTTAAAAGATATATAGGTTTACTCTGAAGATGTTATTTTTATGATTTATTATTAAACTTCTAAGATTTATGTTACAAAATACAAAGCTACAGTAAACATTCTTATGCAAACATTTTTATGTATTTAGGTGACTTCCCAGAGGTAGAATTGCAAAGTTTAGAAAGTAAGTGTATTTTTCATTTTGAGAAATAATTTTTTAAAATAATAAAAAATCAAATTAAATGATTAATTTTATACTGATAAATCTGGTGAATAGAATCAAATTTATCTTTCCAGATGTCAATCCTATTAATCCAGCCACGCCTCCAGTGACAAGTTTTCTAGGTTCGGTAACTCTTTATCTTACTTATATTCTTAAGACATTCAGAAGGTGATGGGTAAAAAAATGATGCCATGTATCAATTTGCATTTCTTTAATTAATAAGTGAAATGAAACTTTTTTGGTCTATATTTATTTATGTTCTAGAAAATATTTTCTTATTAATTTATCAGAACTCATTATAAATTAAATTCTTTTTGAAGTGAAGTGAACATTACTTTCTAGGTTTCTTTTCATTGCCTTATTTTTAATAGCCACTTTTAAAAAAATTTTTTATTGTCTAAAGTTTTACATATGTCTTCTTTTTCCCCAATTGATCTCCCGACCCCCTGCCCCAGCCATTCCCACCCGAGGCAAGCCCCCACCGCCCCAGTGTCTGTATCGATTGGTTATGTTAATATGCATGCATACAAGTCCTTTGGTTGTTAATAGCCAATATATATACAGTTTGATATATATATTGCGTTTTTGTACATTTTCATTGCATAAGTAGCATACAGCTTAATTTGGAGAATTTCAAATATTACAAAAGTATACAGAATAAAAGATAGTTTCCTCTTTTTCTAGTTCATTACCTGAGTTAATCACATAATAGGTTAGGTGTCTTTTCATCTATTTCTATACACCAATATCCTTATATGTGCAATTATACATATTTTGGTATTTTTTTCTTTTTTCTTATCCAGAAATGGCATCACGCTGTTTATATTTTTCTAAAACTTGCACGTTTTACTCATACTGTCTTAGATTGGGGGTGTGTTTAGATTTACTCCTATCCTTTGGGTGATTACTTTGATATATGCAAAATTTTATTTAACTATTTTCCTATCAGTGGTCATTTATATGTGCAGAAGTTTTACATTAAGTTGGATTTATTGATCTTCTCTCCTCCAAGGGCTGTGAGTGTTGTGTTTTTATTATAAAAGCTGTAGGTCTTCCCCACGCTCAAATTACAAACACTTCAACCATGTGTTCTGATTGCATTCTTTGCATTAAATTGTTGGCACATCTGAAATTCATTATGGTATATGGACTGATAGGATTCCTTTACATTTCACCCACTCTCATGTTTTGTCTGCTCTCCTACTGTTTGAAGTGCTAGGTTTATCATACATTAAATTCATTAGTGTTCTAGTTGTCTCTGTTCCCTTGAATTTTGCCCATTCCTTTGCCAGTACCAAATCATGTTTTCTCACTGTAGAACTCTATGTTACAATATCTGTCAGAACAGTTTCAGAAATGTTTGGACTCTATGTTCATGTTTGTAGAACAACTTTTATTTTACTTTATTTTATTTTTTACCATTTTAACCACTTAGGGGTACATTTAGATGCTATTAAGTACATTCACATTGTTGTGCAACCATCACTACTGTGTCTCCAAAACTTTTTCATCATCTCAAATGGAAACATTACATCCATTAACCCTCTATTCACCCTCCCCCAGGCCTGATAAGCACTATTTAATATTCTGTCTATGAACTTGACTATTATAGGCACCTCACTGAAGTGGAATCACTTCTGTCTGATTTCACTTAGCAGCGGTTCTCAACCTGTGGGTTGAGACCCCTTTGGGGTCAAATGACCCTTTCACATGGGTCGCCTAAGACCATCGGAAAACACATATATAATTACATAATGTTTTTGTGATTAATCACTGTGCTTTCATTATGTTCAATTTGTAACAATGAAATTGGGGAGCAACATGAGGAACTGTATTAAAGGGTCGTGGCATTAGGAAGGTTGAGAACCACTGGTCTAGAGGATTTTCTGTAAATGGCTTTTATTATGTTGCAATTTCCTTTAATTGCAGATGAGATTCTAAATCATTAATTAAGCTGTCCTATGTTTTAATTTTAAGTAGGGTCACATTGAATCCACAGGTTATTTTTATTTTTTTTATTGACCAACATGGACATAAAGGTTTCATGTGTGGGTTTCTATGTTACAAGCTCTGTATATTGCACCGTGTACCCATCACCCAAAGTCAAATCTTCTGCTGTCACCATATATTGGGCTCCCCCTTCGCCCCCCAGTAGATGGTGCTGAATCGCAAGATTTTTACCTCTTTGCTCTCCCAGTCTTGAACCTCCATGGCTTCTATAAGACAGTACAGCTGTGCTGCTTGGGGGTGGGGTTTGTTTTGCCTTCAGCACAGTGGCAACCCCTGACCTCTTTGGGGGCCCATCCCAAGCAACCCTCTTAGGGTTCAGTCACAGAGGGATACAGGGATTCTACTGCAACAGCTCTTGGTTTACAGATAATATACTCCTGGACCCGACTCCAAGGGCAACAGGAGGCGAGTTTTGGGAGTCCAAGTGGCAGCAGGGCTCTGTGGTTCTGTTTTTTTGTCTGAAACACCATCGCCTGGCCTGACAGTGGGGAGCCGCAGGGCAGAACCCTGTCACAGCTAATTTTAATAAAATACTAATGATAAATTTGTTTGCTCTACCAAGAATATTGTTATGGGAAATATTAATGGATAGGAAGAAGAATGCTGATGACATATACATTTATAATATTTTATATTACTTTTAATAAAAAAAAAACATTAAGGTAACTTATAAAAAAAAATAAAATTGTAAGAGGTTTTTTTTACAAGGGTTTTATTGTCTTTACTTTTTTAACTTCCTTTTTTTTTTTCTAGAGCATTCCACTCAAACTAGTAAACCACCATCTAAAGGCAATAAGGAATACGGTATTATTTTGACTATTGATGACTCTGCATTATGTGGCCTTAGAGTTCTACATGAAAATAGCATAATTCAATTGTCTATAGTTAGAGAAGGAACAATCTGTCTCAAATGAGTAATAATTGACATTAATACTTATTTTAATGTTGCAGATACTATGACAAATGTAAGCAGTAGTATGTAGACACATGTAGTTTAACACAGTTTTTAAAAGATGCCTCAAATTAGGATTCCTAGTAGGGTGAGGTCACTTTTTCAATTGCTATGTTTATATGTAGGTTAAGATTTATAGAACATAACTTGCTTTTTATATGATAGTGTTATTTTGTGATGGTAATTTATAGATTAATTTCTTCCTATTCAGACCTGTATATCCAAGCCCTAAATACTATAAGTTGGGTTTGTTTTTTTCTACAACCGGCTGGTGCACCACACTTTATGTAGGCTCACAAGGTTCACACAACATATGTTAAAGTATCTGATAAAGTATAGTTGTGCCATTAATGAAATATAAATATTTCTAGATGAGTAAAATGAAAAAAAATATTGCTTTTATTTACATTAGATGTGTTTAGTAAGGTTAACCTTTTCATGAAATGCACCTTAGGCTTGTTATGTTTTCCCCTGAACACTGTGGTCAACCTCAGTGTATCAGTAAACCCATTGCCATCTTAAGATGTTACACACTTGATAATTTTTTATAAAAATGAAGAGTACAAGAAAACTTAATATTGTATGTTTTGCTCTACAGTAATTTAATAAAAACTGTGGCAGCTTAGAAGCAGAGATACTACTAACAGTACCAAGAATTAAGATGTGGTAGTATTATTTATTGCCCTCTGGACAGTAAAAAATGTATGTTTAAGTTTCTAAGCATAATTTTTATCCATGTGCCCTGGTGTTTCATTTACATCCTTAAAATCTCCTTAGTAATTATGACTATATCTTACTGTTCCTTTGAAGAAAGATATAAGGAGGGGTTGATGATAAGATAAAGTATTGTTTGTGAAGACTGCAGATAACATCTGTGTGACAGAATAAGATAGCTTCATTATGACTTATTCCACAGACCAACTTTTGGTGAAAAAATATATAAATTCAGTCCCTAATAATATCATAATAAATGGTAGACTAACTATGGAACTAAACCAACTATAATGAGATACCATGTTTTTAAAACAAATTTTCTCTAATATAATGAATTCTAATTATTCTAATAACAACCTTTACTAAATAACCTAGTTTGGTAGCTACAACACAAAACATTGTTGGGCCCTAAGCCTGCGGTCAAAGTAGAAGGCTCTGTGATCAAAAGGAGCTGGATGCATCAGCAGTCACGCTGAACTAGACTGATAAACATTTTCTTTGATGTAGTTTGTAGATGGTGTGACCGAAGTTTAAATGTATCAACTATTGGAGACTCGCATATGCTCAATTATCTTCAAACTGGTTTTATTTATTTCTAGGTGAAGGACTCATTGCTCTGATTGTTCTTCAGCAAGTAAGTGTCTCAAAGCTGGATACCACTTAAAATAGTACTGCGGAAAAGTGCATTTTAAAAATGATTTCCCAGTTTCTACAGTTTTTATAGCTTCAAATTAAGTAAACCAGTCTATATGGAATACACTACTTTATTCTGGTGATTGTGTATTTTTCTATATTCCCTATTTTCACTTAATAACAAACCCTAAATAGCAAATCTTTATTTTTATATGATTAGTAATATGAGTTTTCATCCCAGATATGACTTGATTAATATTCTAAATTAAGCAAGAACTCTTGTCTGACTTACTGCGGACTCTAAGTGATTCCAGGGAATTGCATTTAGACAGTGACGAGTCCAGATAGATTAGGAATGTATATGCACTTAATAAAATAGTATTTTTTCCCACTGAAATGTAGGCAACATAAATTTCTTCTGCTGGATTGGAACTTGGTATCTGTTTTTAGAGTTACATGTCACTTGTTTTCTGGTTTCTTGTAGTTCTTGGCGTTGCAGTAATTGGCACCGGTGTGTACAGGTATCTTCACATCAGCCAAAGAGAGTAAATTAAACATGTTTCTTGAACACATTGGTGCTTCTCACTCTTTTTAAAAAATATATGTTTTATTGACTTCACAGAGAGGAAGGGAGAGGAAGAGAGAGATAGAAACATCAATGATAAGAGAGAATCATCAACTGGCTGCCTCCTGCATGCCCCAAACTGAAGAATGAGTCTGAAACCCAGGCATGTGCCCAAACCGGAATCGAACTATGACCTCCTGGTTCATGGTTCCAAGCTCAACCACTGAGCCACACCGGCTGGGCAGTGCTTCTCACTGTTGACATACTTTTGTGAAGCTTTTGTTTGCACTCTGTATTGTATGCTGCCTTTTTAAAAAATGTGTCTACATTAGTGTGCTGTCAGAATTGCATTTCTTGCTAAGAATATTTTCAGCTGCTTTTAATGTCATCATAAGAAGACTAGGCAGAATTGCTTTAGCTATTATGACTGTAAGAAAAATTTGTGTGGTTTGAGGTTTAAGTTCTGCAGAGAATCATGGATCTTTATGGAACCTACAGCCTAAAATAATTTAACTGCCAAGGATATCATTCAGAATTGAAGGAAAAGATAGAGTTTCCTGAACAAGCAAAAACTGAAGGAGTTCATCACCATTAAAGCAGCTTTATAAGAAATGGTAAGGGAAGGAAAGGCCATATCCAGAAATAAGAAAATATGACAAAGGAAAAAAATCATAGGTAATGACAAATATTTAACAAAAGCAGCAAGTCAGACATTTAAAAAGTTCAAACAGTCAAAAGGCAAAAGTACCAAATTGAACTCAAATTTCAAAGAGTAGTTAGGAGATACACAAAATGAAAAGATCTAAAATATGACATCAAAAACATAAAGCATAGGTATGGGAGTAAAAGTGTAGTATTTTTTTGACTATATTAAAATGTAAATGCCTATCCATTTTAAATGGATTGCTGTATATAGATCAGCAATTTTCAACCAGTGTGCCACAAGAATTTTTTTTAAACTTTCAATACTTGACTATTTAGTCAGGGGCACTGACCTCTTTTCCCTTAGATTGTCAAATAAAGAAATGACAACAGCCTATAGAACAATAGCCACCTGGTGTGAATGAATCAAAATTATATCTCATTTTTTGTCAGGCCAGCAAAAATATATATTTTTGGTGTGCTGCAGAATTTTAGTGATTAGCTTGTGTGCCATGAGATGAAAAAGGTTGAAAATAGTGATATACTTATACATGAACCTCATGATAGCCACACACCAAAACCTATAAAGACACATGAAGAATCAAGAGAAATTAACCCAAGTAAAACAATAAAGAAAACCAGCAAACCACAAGGGCAGGAATCAAAAGAAGAAAAAAACAAAACAGAGAACTACAAAAACATCAAGAACAACAACAACAACAACAACAACAAAACAAAGTGAAAATTGGGACACATTTATTGATAACTTTAAATATAAGTGGATTAAATACTCTAATAAAGAGGTATAGGGTGGCTGAATTGATTTAAAAACATGATCCATCTATCTGCTGGTTACAAAACACCCACTTTACATGAAAGACTCATACAAATTGAAAGTAAAGGTATGGGAAAAGATACTGCATGAGAATAGAAACAAAAAGAAAGCTGGCATAGTAAAACTCATATCAGACAAAATACAAAAGAGTGTTAAAAAACACAAAAAGGGACACTACATAAATATAAAATTTCAATAGTGAAGAGGATATAACAATTGTAAATATTTACACACCCAACATAAGAACCCCTAAATATATAGAGCAAGTATTAATGGACATGAAGGGAGAAATCCACAGTGATACAATAATAGTATGGGGATCTTAATGTCCCACTCACATCAATGGATACATCATCCAGACCAAAAATTAGTTAGGAAATGCCCTTTAAATGGTCACATTAGACCATATTGACTTAATAGACATTCACTGAACATTTTATCCCAAAACTGAAGAATACATTTTTTAAAGTACATAAGGGACATTCTCCATGATATACCAGATATTAGGCCACAAAATAAGCCTCAGTAAATTCAACAAGATTTAATTTATTTCAACCTTTTCTGACCACAGTGGCTTACAACTAACAAGCAGGTACAGAAAGAAAACTCAAAATGAGCATAAATATGTGGAAACTAAACAACATGCTATTAAACAACCATGGACCAAAAAGGAAATCAAAAGTATCTTGAGAAAAAATAAAAATGAAACACAACTTTTCAAAAGGTATGGGATGGAGCAAAAGCAGTTCTAAGAGGAAAAGTTCATAGCCATAGAGGCCTCAAGAACCAAGAAACATTGCAAATAAACAATCTAGCTTTATATCTAAAGGAACTGGATAAAAAGAACAAACAAAACACAAAATATACAGAAGAAATGAAATAATAATAAAGATCAGCATGGAAATAAATGAAAATAGAAATTTTTAAAAAGACAATAGAAAAGGTCCATGCAAGCTGGTTCAATGGAAAATCTTTAGCCAAACTCATCAAGGAAAAAGAGAGAACCCAAATTAAAAAAATTGTAAATGAAAGAGAAGTTACAATTGACACCCCAGAAATACAAAGAATCATTACATTTCTACAATTATTTGCCAACAAATTCCACAATCTAGAAGAAATGGATAAATTTCTCCATGCATATAGCTTTCAAAGACTGAACCAGAAAAATAGTCCAGCAGACCAATTACTAGCAATGAAACTAAAGCAGTGGGCTCAATAGAGTAATGTTCCCTTGTCCTTTTATCAGACTATCTGCTTCCTCTCCCCTAGAGCAGCTGTTAAATAAAGGTAACGCCAAGGGTCATTTAGAGTCTGTTTTGTCCACTTACAAATCTCTCAGTTACAGTGATATTTTTACACTGCATGCTGCCTACGATTCCCATAAATTTCTTAATACTATTGCTACACACTTAGCATTTATATTTTTCTAAAATTCTCCATCTTTGCTCACAGCTTTGACGATTTCTTTGGGATAAACTCTATACAGGAATGGTGTAAAAGCCATGCCAATTTTAAAACTTTCAACATACAACAGTTATGTAAAAACTAAAAATTTGAGGATGCTGCTGCTCCCAATACGTTTACTCACAATTGCTGACATTTTGATTCTTTGCCAACTAAAGAACAAAATGTCAGCTCCTTTCGTATGCTCTTTAATATCCCTCCTTACTCTTTTTAAAAACCAGTCTTACAGATTTACTCACAACTCTACCAGTAAATCTTGCTCATTCTTAATGTTCCAGAATTGAGATGGTTTCACCACAAAAGTTCTCCCTCTTTTCAATTCCTACTCATCCCACCAATCATGGCATTAATCACAACCAGGAATTTGACACTTAATATACCTGTGTTTTTTTCATGTTATGTGTATTTTCTCTTCAATAAAATGTTTAGTTCCAAAACAGCAAGGGCCCTATAGGTTGAGACCCAATATCCTTAATGACACAGTGTTTAATAAATTACCTTCCCTGGGGTCCTCCCAAGGGAAAAGGAGCAGAGGCATTTACAATGGGGTTTGGGGCCCAATGCAGTGGCCAAATCATCTTGGTGATTTTGAAATCCAGCTGGCCTCGAAAGGATTCAATAGCAGAATTCAACCACGGGAATCTCAGTATTGTCCCCAGTTATGCCTGATTAATGGCAAATCTGGACAAGGGCCTGGCTCTGTTATCTGTGGAAGGGGGGTGTCCACCTGTGGAAGTGGGGATCCCTTTTTCCACTTGGTGTTTAGGGTCCGGTCCTTACGATATCTAGACAAAAAAGAGTTTTCTGAGACTAGAACAGGGAAAGGCGTAATGATGACTGGGGCCAGCTCTTGTTATCTCTCCACCCTTCCTGAGGCGGGTGATAACTGCCTGTTTAGGATCTTGGAGGTGAGCCACCATTTTCAGCAAACCTTGGAGGTGCTTCAGGGCAGGTTGGAGAATGGTGAGCTCCACCATGCACAGGCTGACCCTGAACTGCCAGCTGACCCAGTTGGGTTAGACCTTGGCCAGGCCACACCTCATTCCCTCCCAGGGCTGAAGCACAGCCCTGGGGCCTAGGACCCGCCTTGCAGGCCGCCATTGGCCCCGCCCTACCCTAATATCACAGTCCAGGCCAAGCCCACTAAGTGTAATGCACTGGACATTTTTTGAGTCTGGGGATTGTTGCGTCTGGTACCTGCACTCAAAGAGGCAACTACTCACTGTCCCTCGGGTTTCTCCGCTGATGTCTGGGGACATGAGGGCCTCTTACGAGCTGCTCAGGACATCTTCCCGCCGCCTGGAGAGTCCCTTTTCTTGGGGCTACCTTGGGATCTTTTTGCTGGCCCTAGAGCTCCTGCTACCCACATGCTCGGGTAGGGAAGGGAAAGGGTGTCTGCTCTGGAGGGAAACTAGAGCGGGTAGGGGAGCTGGTCTACAGGAGCGGAGCGCAAAGGGAACTTTGCTTGGCGTGTGGGGGAGGGGGCTCAGGGCTTGTGGACCAGGTGATGCGGGTTCAGGGTAGAAGCCTTAGCTACAGATCCCCCAGGTGATGTGCGTTCAGGGTAGAAGCCTTAGCCACAGATCCTCCTGGTTGTGCTGTGGGGGACCAGAAGTGAGGGGGGACTTCAGAGGCCCGCGGTGAGGGTCCAGTGATGGTAGGTACTGAGCCTTGCAGAGCCCTGGGTGCAATCAGTGTTTGCTAAGTAGGGGCTAAGCTGTGTCCCTAGCAAAAGCCTGCAGGTGTTTGTGGACTGAGTTCATCAAGATGTCAGAGATTAACCAAAGAACATGTATGCATATATGCATAACCCATGGACATGGACAATAGTGTGGGGAAGGCCAGGAGTGGGGCGGGGCTGAGTGGATGAGGGCAAAGGGGTGGGGAAATGGAGGACATGTGTAATACTGTCAATTAACGAAAGGAGATGGGAAGCCCTGAGCAGGTGCTGAAGGTGCGGGCCTGCTCCTCAGTGCCCAGTGTGTGGGGTGTTGTTTGGGCCAGTGCTGGACCCGTGGGGAGGCTTTGCCCTGTGTCCCCTGGGCTCAGTGAAGCCTTGGTGAGTGGGGTGCTGCGCCCCACTGGGTTGGGCTGGGGGATCCCAGGCCAGGTGTTACCAGGCCAGAGGTGCAGGGTGTGGGGCAAGGAAGCTCACTGCTTGCTTTGTATGGGGATTGGGGAGCACGAGTTACCCAGAGAGCCCTTAAGTGAGAGGGAGCTCCAGGGCCTGGGGTTTAGAAGGGTTGGGAAGGACACGCAGTGCTTTTTGTACAAAAAGGTAACAGGCTGCTGAGTGACATCAAATCATACTGGTATCGGTTTCCTTGAGAGAGATGAAAATGAAAAACAAAACCTTACAACATTATGAGATACAGCAAAAGCAGATATATGAGGAAAGTTTATAGCTATACCAGCCTTCATCAAGAAGCAGGAATGATCCCAAATAAACAATCTAATTTGTGTCTAAAAGAACTAGAGAGAGAAGAGCAAACAAAATCCTAAGTAAGTAAATGGAAGGAAATAATAAAGATCAGAATGGAAATAAATGAAACAGAAAATAGTAAAATAATAGAAAAGATCAGTGAAACTAAGAGGTGGTCCTTTGAAAGGATAAATGACATTGACAGATCTTTATCAAGAATCATAATGTGAAAAGAGGACACAAAATCAGAATAGAAAGAGGAGACATTGCAGTTGACAACACAGAAATACAAAGGATCACTAAAGAATACTATGTACAATAATATGCCTACAAATCAGATAATCTAGAAAAAATGACTTTCTTGAAACATACTTGCTTTCATGACTAAACCAGGAAGAAACAGAGAATCTGAATAGTCCAATTACTAGCAATAAAATAAAGCATAAATAAAAGCCCTAACAAGGAACTGAAGCACTAGAGCAGACAGTCTAAAAGGTGAATCAACCAAATATTTAAAGACTTAGTACCTATTCTTCTGAAACTATTTCTAAACATTGTAAAGGAAGGAACACTTCCAAACTTATGGGAAGGGAACATATCTATAAATAAATTTCTAAACCAAAAACATTGGTGCTCTCTCTTCAGTTTACTGTTGAAAGAATATTCACGTTATTCCCAAAGAAACAAAAACTAATAGGATGTTATTTAAAGCAAGCACAGCTCATCATCTGGTAAAAGCCTGGCACAATCACTTAAAATCTCACCAAGGGCCTTCCATTTATCTTGTACAACCTGCCTGATGCCAGGCCATAATCTGTGGCTGGTGGGAAAGGAAATACTTTACTTTCATGTTCTTATTCTCTCATGCCCAGATGCCTGTGGTGACCCACCAAAATACCAATCTATGAAACCTGAGGGTAATCCTGCACCTCCTTATAATGCTGGGTTCACAATAGAATATGAGTGTCGCCCAGGATACAGGCTTATTGTTCCTCTTGTTCGTCCCACCTCTGCTGTTTGTCAGCTTGATAACACATGGGCACCTCCTCTCCGGGAGGCTTGTACAAGTAAGTACACAAGACTTTTTATTTTTATTGCTCTAAAGATTTTCACATATTTTAGACTGCATATTCCACTATTACCATGATGGCTTTCTCAGATGGATGTAGATTTTAGAATGTATTTTTTTCAGGCTTTGAAGATCTCCAGGAAATTTTTAATTTGGCCATTGATTCTTTGTATAAATGTGAATCTTAAGTTTGGCCATTAGCGGCAACATGGATGGACCTTGAGAATATTAAGTTAAGTGAAATCAGTCAGTCAGAAAAAGCCAAGGACCATATGATTTCACTTATATGGAGATATAAAACTGGAACTCATAGACACAGACAACAGTTTGGTGGTTACCAGAGGGAAGTGTGGGGGTTCCATGGGGTTGTAATGAGTAAAGGGGACCAAGTATATGTGGAAGGTTATTTGACTTTGGGGAGTAGAAACGCAATGCATTACACAGATATGTGTCATAGTTGTGTACACTTGAAACCCTATATAAGCTTATTAACCAATGTCACCCCAAGAAATGTAATAACAATAAATAAGAATGAAAATATTACTATCAATTTAATACCTCAATGTAGAATTTTTATTTTTATTCAAATCTGTTTTGACATTGGTATAAAACAACAAATTTGAAAATTTTCTTTTAGGAAAGTCATGTCCACAGCTAGGAGAACCCCAAAATGGCAAAATAGTCCATGTTAATGGAGCTTCCAGCTTTGGCTCATAAGCTCAGTATGCTTGTAATGAGGGGTAAGTAAATTGCTCCTTAGATGAGTAAGATAAATGTTGCTAATTCCATTTTTGGTTTGGTTCTCTTCTTAAGCATTTCCATAATGTTCATTTCATCTTGCTTTCTGTGGAACAAGTTGTACTTACAGCCAATCAACCCTTCGGAGATTGAAAAGATGTGCAATGGATAGAAAGAAATTTTACTGGAAGGAAAGCAAAAGTGTAATATATAATAAGTAATAATAAGCCTATTGTAGTCATTAAAAATGTAGTAATCATGGTGACATGGTCTTAAATGAAACTATAGTAGGCTGGAAGGTAGGAAGGAGAGACATGGAGTTAGTTAACAGAAAAAATGGCAGGAACTAATGAAATGTGTGTTGAAACTTTGAATGAACTTCCGGAGGTACTTTAGATTCGTGCTAATATAAGAGCTAGTAGTGTAGCTGTTTTTCAATAAGGGCTAGCTGACCACCAGATTTCACTGCATCCTGCTTCCACAGGAACTTTTCAGACTGTCCAGCAAACTGTCCAAAAGCAGCAAACACTTCTTCCTACAGACTATGCACCTATCCCAGAACTAGCTCTACTTTCCCTTTTTCTGCTCCCTTATCTATTCCTTCAAAATAACTTACATCTTTCTACTCAAAGCTGTAAAAGAACCCCATTAAACCAGGATGGCGGAAATGTTTGCCTTCATCTCCCTGCTCTGGTGGTTTAGCCCCAGGATCTGGTCCTTTTTTCTCGTGTCAATAAGCCTGTTCCTTCAGAAAATCGTCTGGCTGAGAAGGTTTTGTTTCACAACCTATCCCTTTGTGGTCAGGGAAGATACTTTGTATCATATCTATCTTTTAAAAACCTATTGATTGGTTAATATTAATTTATGGCTCATTGTATGGTATATTGTGGAAGATGTCCCATGCGCACTTGACGAAAATGTGTATTCTGTTCTATGTCTGTGAGATCCAGTTGATTGTGTTGTTGAAGTCCTCTATTTCCTTACTTATCTTCAGTCTGTTGTACTATCCATTAGTGAGTGGGAGATATTGAAGTCTCCAACTATTACTGGAGAAATGCCTGTTGCAAAAAATGTGTATTTCTCTTTACAGTTGTGCCAGCTTTTGCTTCATGTATTTTGAAGGTCTGTTATTTGTTGCATAAATGTTTATAATTATTACTAGAGGCCCGGTGCACAAAAATTTGTGCACTCTGGGGGAGGGGTCCCTCAGCCCGGCCCGTGCCCTCTCACAGTCTGGGACCCCTTGGGGGATGACCACCTGCTAGCTTAGGCCCGCTCCCCAGGGGATTTGGCCTAAGCTGGCAATAAGACATCCCTCTGGCAGCCCGGGAGCCCTCGTGGGATGTCCACTTGCCAGCGGGGAGGAGGCCTAAGCTGCAGTCGGACATCCTTAGCGCTGCTGAGGAGGTGGGAGAGGCTCC